CTTTAGAATAAATCGATGGAGGTGCAATGTGAACAATTTAAAAGAGATGTTTGAATAATGAGTTGAGCTTGGAGACTTATATGATAGATAGACTCGGGAGAACTCCATCAAAACAAATGAAAATATGCTAAGGGAAAAGAAGTACTGGGAGAACACTTGAAAAAAGGTCGGCGCAAATATCTAGAAAACTTCTCGCAGAAGCTGGGAGGGTGATAAAGTGGAAATGACCTTGAATAACACTCTCAAAGGTTCGACTCAGGAGAGGATAAGAAAACCTAAGTATTGGGGGGAATATACATGTGTAGAAATATTGCATGTAATCTCAATAAATTTTGAAACCAAACTGCCTAAAAATTTCGTAGCTTACACGAGTAAATAGGGAGAGCGGTGGTTAAAACACAGTCAATTTTATCAAAATGAAATTTTGAAGACACGGAATATGATGATAAATAGATATGCTAGTATGGAAAAGGATGTGTACGACGTCTTGAAAGGCCTGCTCATCGAGGGTCAGCTCCACAAAGATGACATAATTGGACGTTTTTCGCACCGATGAGAATGAGCTGGAAGAAAACAGAAAGTTTCTTTTGAAAAGGTGAAAACAGTTCAGAAAACAACGGTCGTTTTGTGAAGCGCTGGCTCAAAAACTAGTTACATACAATGATGTCAGAATTTCTTTGTTATCCTTTAAATGTAAGTTTTTAAAGATCTGAAACAATATCTGAAGGCCACGGCAAATTAGAAGTTATCCAACTACTGTTTGAAATCGGCAAAGATCTAACGTGAATTTTACTTCTTTCATTTCCAAGTTTATAAAAAAGTACTGTTCAATTTGTATTCTTCTTGATGCCGTGTTCAAAGTGATTCCGCAAAATACCCGTTAGAGAAAGGAAAAGATAACTAATTTTTGGAGAGTCAAAGATCATCTTGTATTTTGCGTAAATAACTTTGAACACGGCATAAAACAATGTTTTCGATGATTGGTTAATCTTTTTTGTTTCAGTTTTCTACTTCAGGCATGGGTATTTTTTCATAAAGTATTCTCAGCCAATTCTTCTTATAGCGCATTCTTATCTCAATAGAAAATACAAAAGCTCACGTTGGAACGAATATTCAAAAGGTCAAAAAGAGTTTTTGGTTCTTTTTATGATATAAAAATATTACCTTGCCACTCGGGTTGAAAGCGACGGACGTCGTTTGGGGAAGATCAACGCAGAAATGTTCCATCGGTGGACAAATCATGTGAGGACAGGTGAGTAATTAGGGAAGGTCGTATCAATTGTCCACCGGAGACTGTTGTCAGCTTCATCGAGGTGCAATGATGAAATCTTTATGAAATGGATGTTAGGCCAATGGAACCGTTCGGGCTGGTTCTTGAAACAAAACATGAAAACAATATTAATAAAGCAACAGCGGTTTTGTTTTCCCACGAATCCTCTTTAGTTAAATAATAAGCAGCTACAAACTATTTTAGAGTAAAGCAAATTTCTAGTCAAAATTAAAATAATTTCGGAGAACGAGAAAATGAGTTTGCAGCAGTTTGGTTCAGAAATTTAAAATTGTTTTCATTGTTCAACTTACATCTGCCTGGTTGAAGATGGGATCATAACTGTTATGAACAGATTCTCCAGGACCCTCTCGTTGGTAATTCGGACCAGAATTATGATTTTGCTCTCTGTAATTTCTTTTTTTGCGATTTTACTGAGCTATTGAAAACTTGGCAAGCAAATGGCGAGCAAATCGCCACAGGAAGAGAGGGCGTTCGAACTTTCGCGGAACCCCAATCGCCGAATCGCTTTTTGCTTTGTTCTCTCTTCACAGAAAAGGACCTTCATGTACCGGTTCCTTCCTCCCGGATAAGTGAAAACTGGAGTGCCAAGTTCGGTGACGGTCATCGCTGTAAGAAAATATTGAGGAAACCCATCAATTTTCAGTCCATAAATTGCTTTTTTTCGTTAAAATACTATGAAGTAAAGCTATTAGGTTTGACAAAAAAAGTTCTACTCTACTGTTACATATTCTTCCAACTTTTTCAATATGTTTTCTGAATTTTAAAAAAGGATCGAATTGCAAAAAATGAGGCTGCAATCATATCAGTACATTTTCCACATTCAGGAAGGTTTGTGGAAATTTGAATTTGGAACGTCAGTATATCGTTGAAGTTTAAACTTTTTTTTGCGTTTTTGGGGTCTTTTATGAATTAAGAAGAAAACGTAATAATGTTTTTTTCACTTTGGAATCTTGTTAATAAATACGTTTCAGGGGAAGAAAATACTGTTAATCATCTGGTCCCATAG